AAGGTGGGACATTGAGGATCAGAAAATGGGGTGCAGAGGACCAGAAATGTGGGATTCTGAGGATCAGAAATTTGCTATTTTGAGGTCCACAAATGTGGGATGTTTAGGACCAGAAAGGTGTGATACAGAGGACCAGGAAAGTGGGATTTTGAGGATCAGAAATGTGGGATTCTAAAGATCAGAAAGGTGGGATTCTGAGGATCAGAAATTTGGGATTTTGAGGTCCACAAATGTGGGGCATTCAGGATCAGAAAGATGGGATTCTCTGGACCAAAAAAAAAGGGATTCTGAGAATCAGAAAAATGGGATGCTATGGGCCAAAAAGGGGGGATGTTGAGGATGAGAAAGCTGGGATTCTGCCATCCAGGGAGCTGTGATGCTGCCCTTCACCAAAGTTCCTCCTGTGCCACCTCCCGAGCATTCCCAGCTGCAGCAGCACCGATCCTTTGGCACAAATCTTCCTCTCCCATTTTTTCCAAGTCCATCTAAAGTCTGTGGGTAAAAGATGGATCCATGAGCGCTCCGGGTTCTCTCGGAGTTTGGAATTTGCTGCTTTTCTCCCCATTTTGCTGGGCTGGGGTGGCACGGTAGGTGCAGTGCCGAGGTTTTCCATCGGCGTTCCGTGGGCAGCCGATGTCCGCAGTCATGGATTTGCGCTTCCTTTCTCTCCCACCCACATCTCCTCCCAATAACAGAATTCCTTCTCTGCAGAGGAGCCGTCGGTGCCAGCGAACTCCGGCTGCTCAAACATTCCCGGGCTCCTCCCACAGCCTTTGGAGTTATTTAGTTTATTGATCTGTGATATCCGGGTGTTGACCATGGAATCCCACGGGAAAACGGGATGGGGATAGAATGGTGAGCGCTGTCCCTCCTCCGCAGCCTTCCTGAGGTCCGGATTTCGGACAACGGTCCCTACGAGTGCCACGTGGGKATCTACGACCGAGCCACGCGGGAGAAAGTGGTGCTGGCCTCTGGGAACGTGTTCCTGAATGTGATGGGTGAGCGCTGGGATCGGGACTGGGGCAAAACACCATCTGTGGGGTCATGGGGGGCGGGAACAGACGGGATTGGGATTGTTTTGGGATGACTGGGGGTAGGGATGGGGGTGGGGCAAGGGGAGGGGATGAGGACAAGGACAGGAACAGGAATGGGGACATGGACAGGGATGGGGATGTAGATGAGGGAGAAGATGGGGACAGGGATGGGGATGGGAACAGAGATGGGATGGGAATGAGGACAAGGACAGGGATGGAGATGGGGATGAGGGTGAGGACAAGGATAGGGATGGGGAGGAGGACAAGAACGGGGACAGGGATGGGGATGGGATCGGGATGAGGACAAGGACAGSGATGGRGATGAGGGTGAGGATGATGTGGGGAGAGCRATGAGGATGCCCTTGGGGATGGGAATGGATATGAARATGGGATGGGACAAGGATATGGACAGGGGTAGGGGTAATGGGGAATGGGATAAATGTGGGGAGTGGGATGGCCATGGGAATGGGTGCAGGGGTGGGAATGGGGATGGGTATCAGGATGGGGGTGGGGATAGGGATGGGAATGGGAATGGGAATGGGATGGGGATGGGATGGGAATGGGAACGGCAATGGGGATGGGGATGGGAATGGGATGGACTGGGTCATGTTGAGGACCCTGTGCTGATCTCCTGGCTCTGCCCCGGCAGCACCCCCAACATCCATCTCGGTGCTGGCCGCCGATGCCCCGGCGCCCTTCAGCCGCTACCGGGC